CTGAAGAACTCATCCCCTCCATATATCCATACATCCATTCATTAGCAAAGGAATAAAACTCCCGGCAGATGTATACATGCATATTATACACAAGAGATGAGCTAATACATTTAAAGTCATTTAGTGCTGAACAGTGGGTAACCAGACACAAAAATCTGACACTTCTGATTCACTAAAACAGTGTCCAGACTAGTTTTTTCCTTCCAATTAATTTAATTACATTGCAACTCAAAACTTCAGATTCAGGTGCTGGGATCTCAGTCACAAACTATCACATTAGAGTGACTGAGACAGACGGAATCAGCTGACAACCCGAGTTAAACAAATATTCTCTTGGTACCCAATGCCCTTATAAATTTAGGAAAAGCAATGTCCCTAATAGCCACCACACTCTCGGGCAGTGACCAAAATCTTTGCAGTGTGCTGTCATAAGCTTGGCTTACAGCTGGTTGCAGGTTTATTGCATCAGACAAAATTAATCACGTGGTTTTAACAGCATCCAGCCAATCAGTGACTACTCAGTTCATCTAGGCAGAGGGTTCTATTATTTTATTTTCAGTTTCGGGTTTTAGCCAAACTCTGCCCATGTCTTTTCCGGAAAACTGCTATAAATCACAATTACACAGTCTCAATAATTAGAAGCATTTCCTTGCCTCCCCGCACCCCTCGCCCCATGTGTGGCCTACCACGGAATAGACTTTTCTAGATTTTTAAACGTATGGTCACAATCAGGGAGCTGCCTTTCCCAAAAGCTCCGGGATCACTGCAAATAGGCAGAAGCATCCTCCAAAGGTCCCAAATGCTTCTAATATGTATGGAATTAACTTATTACACTGCAGATGTGACTCGGGCTGGAACCTTTGATCCTATTAAAATAGGAGATAACTGTGGCGTTGCTGAAGATGAAAAAAAGACCACAGGCGACCAAAGGTAAATGCTAGGAAAAGGGAACCCGCCCCCCAAACCTCCGCCCTTCGTTTCTCCTGGCTACCCTTGCGGGGGCGAAGCCTTGACAGCTCTTGATGCGCAAGCGCCATGCTCCTTCCCAGACCAGCAATCCGCACTGAGCACGCGCGGAAGAAGCTGGAGCCCATCCGGCAGATGGGACGATCCTGCTACCCGAGCGTTTGGGGGAAGAGGGAAAGCCTCGGATCCGCCGCAACCTGGGAGTGGGTCTAACGAGGTGCGGACGCTGTGGCCTCAGGAGTGGGAACGAGATCCGAGAGCTGAAGCTGGGATTAGGATCGGGACATCCCGCGCATCCTAGTACTCACATCTTCGCCACTCGCCGTCTGCCTTCACCAGTCTATCCACTAGTCCTGGGTCCTTGAAGCGCTTCTTTTGCGTCTCTCGGATGAGGTCCGGGTCCCCTCCTTTATCCACCCGAAACAAATCCAGATCCAGCACCATTTTCCCTTCTCCCGGGTCAACACTGAGAATGAGAATCGTAGTAACGCAATCAGCCTGTGACTGACGCCCTTTGCCGGCGCGCTGACCCGTCCCTCCCTGCGCAGGCGCGGCGGGAGCGCGCGTGCGCCCCCTCTCGGCCGGAAGCGGCTGTGTTGGAGGCGGGGCCGCAGTGAGGAAGGTGGGGTGCGCGGGCGTGGGTTTCTAGGGCTGCGTCTCGGGCTGTCCCAGCTCCGGCCTTGTCGCCCTCTCGTGCTCTCCCCAGCCCTGCCCCTCTCTGTGGGGCTCTCATTACCCCGTGAAGGTGAGTGTCCTAGTTCCCTCCTTACGTTAAAGGACATACCTCAGGCTAGGCAGAGGCCTGACAACGAGGTCGCTGTCTTGGAAGCTGGCGCCTCCAGTAGATGCCAGTTTCCGGCTCACAAGCTTGGGTCCTAAGAATGGATCCTCTCCCGGAACCTCTGCTGTTTTCTCCATCTTGAGACAAGAGTGTGGCTACGTTTCTTAGTCCCAGGGTTACTTCCACTCTCATGATTCCTACTCTCTCTGCCTTAGAATCTTTAGAACCAGCAGAGGGTGAGTGAAATGCAACCATACATTGATATTTCTCTCCCTCTCTTCCTCTCTTCCCCCTCTAAAGAATAAAAATAAATAAAATCTTAAAAAAAAGATTATTTATTTTTAGAGAGAGGGGAAGGGAGACGGAAAGACAGGAAGAAAAATACTGATGTGTGGTTGCCTGTCACACCCCCAACTGGGGACCTGGCCCACACCCCAGGCACAGGCCCTGACTGGGAATTGAACCTGTGACTCTGGTTCTCAGGCCGGCGCTCAACCCACTGAGCCACACCAGCCCTCGCTCTCTGGTTGCTTCTTGTATGCACCCTGACCAGAGATCGGGCCTGGTACTCTGGCGTTTTGGGACGACATTCTGACCAATTGAGCTTACCCAGCCAGGCTGAATGTTTATCTCCACAGGGCCTAGTGCCGTTCCTGACACAAGGGAGATGCTTATTACATCCCCATTGGGTGAGTGACTTCCAGAGAGCAGGCTTAATGCAGGTTCAGGGAACAGAATCAGAGGTGAGCAACAGCCTTGGAGGCCCTAGGTAACGGGTGGGCAGCCCCGGGAGGAATGAGTACCTGCAGGGGGGGAGGGGAGCAAGTGAAAGAAGGGTGGAGAACCCAGCCACAGACGCCACCGCCACAGTGCGTGTTCCCCAGTTCAGAGCTGGCTGGTGTGGGAGGGTTCTCTCTGGTCTCCCTTGAGCACCTCTTTGCTGTTTTTGTTCCGGATTTGGAATAGGATTTCTCAGTGTTCAACAAACAAGCCCTAACCTCTCAGTCCCCTGCTGGAAGCCTTCAGTGATGACCTGTTGCTCTCAGGAGAACGTTCAAACAGCTCGCAAAGCCCTTCATGATCTGCCCCCTAACATGTTCCCTCTCACTCCTTTCTGAGCTACTTCTGGCTCCCCTCCCTTGCCTCTGAGCCTTTGTACAAGCTACTTCTGCCTGGAACTCTCTTTCCCTCGCCTTTTCCTCCAAACTGGCTAATTCCTTCTTCCTCCAGGGAAGTCTTCTCTGATACTCCCTTTACCCTTCCCCGCAGACTGGCTCTAGGTTTTCACAGTACAGTGGCATTTATCCTACTGTTTTAGGAGGAACTGACAAACCAACCCCTAGTTCTTGGCCTCTCACTCCCTTCTATCAGAGAGATACAGTAACAAGAGAAGTGGATGCTGCTGTCCTTGGGCAACCAAGGAAGAACCATTTAAAAATAACCTGGGTCAGGGAAAGCTGCCAGGAAGTGGGTGGCTTTGATCCTGCCTCTTTCTCTGTTACCATTGGAGTAAGATGTCAATTATCCTACCACACTATTCAGGGAATTGTACTTTTTGTGGGATTGTTAATTTCAGCACTAAAATGAAATTATTTATATTCCAGACTCACCTTGAATAGCTCAGTTACCCATAAGGTTTTGGATATGCAGTCTTCCATCAACTTCTATATCTCTGCAATAGCCATTGTTGCTCTGTGATTCTCAATCAATTAAACATCTTTAAGTTTTAGACCAAGTCATGGGTACCTTCTTGCCTGGTCACCTGACAATGCGTTTCACTTCTTTGTCAGTGATTGGGAAGCCCTTAAAATCACTCACACATTCCCTCCCCACACTTTCAAGCTGGGTCATGTCTGCTTCTTGTTCGATGCATTGAAACACTGCACACTATATGGTTGAATTCATACAAATTAACTGCACTATGCCCATATAAGTGTTTCTTCCCTCTTGTATCCCCAGTGGGTGAGCAGAAAAAGATTTCAGTGAGGTGACTTTGAAGACGGGGCAGGGGTCTGTCAGGTAAAACCGAAGAGGAGGAGCAGAGGCATGTGCCAGGCAGCGAGATGTGAAACAGCTTATGACTGAGGGACAGTCAGAAGTTCAGAGAGGTTAGAGTGTAAGGATGGGCTCTTCAGGACCTCACATGCCACCTGACTAAATCTGGAGGTGCAGCTTCCTTATCTATTATAATGGGCATAGTGCCCGCCTCCAGCGCTGTTGTGAGAACTCAGTGGGCGGTGCTGTGGAAGCGCTCATTCCAGGTCCTGGCTGGTGTGGCTCAGTGGATTGAGTGCCATCCTTCACACCAAAGACTTGTCTGTTTGATTCCCAGTCAGGGAACATGCCTGGGTCACAAGCCAGGGCCCCAGGAGGGGGCGCACAAGAGGCAACCACCCGTTGATGCTTCTCTCCCTCTCCCTCCCTCCCCCTTTCTCTAAAAATAAAATATTTTTTAAAAAATAGAGGCATAGTCAATGAGATAACAAACAGGTGTACAAGTAAATGTGAAAAAATTAAAAAAGAAAAGCACTCAGTTCCGGCTTGACACACAGCGATGCCGCGCTAATGGCATCCTTGCCTACTTTCCTTCTTAAGAGGAAGGTAAATATCATCCCTGCTTATAGACATCACCCTGTAAGCAGCGGTGATATTTAAAACGTTAACCATCAGTACAGCTCAGGTACCACCCAGTCAAAACAGATGTGGGTCACCTCCAACAGCTGAGGGAATTCTTTCGAGATTAAGGATGAGGGAAAACACTGATGCAGGAAAACGCAGCTACCTGGGAAGTGGCTCTTGACATCCATCGCCTGGGATTCTATCCACATCTAGTCTGTCATAACCCACCTCGAACCCGAACAAGCTACGTTTACTTGTACTTGTGGGCACTTTGTTACGTGGCTAGCCTCAGTGCCGCCTGCGAGGAAGCGCAACTGGGAGGGAAGGGAACCACCATGATACTGTTTCATGTGTTCTCTCGTTTGAACCTCCTTAGTCTTGGGAGGTGAGGCATCGGCAGTTGCATTTCGTATTGGGAAAACTGAGGCTTTGGTTGTCGCTGATTCCTTGACAGGCGCGAAGAGGCTGCGAGCCCGGGGCCATGTTACTCCACAGTATGCTCTTTTCTCTGTTGCCCCTGGAATCCTCCCCAGCAGTTAAGCTTCAAGGACATTTGCCATTTCCCACCCACCCAGCCATCCAACCCAGGTTCAAGAAAAACAACTCGAAAGGTATGGTTTTATTTCACAGAAAAAAAGTGACATGCAATACCCATCCCCTAACAAACTACAAACTCTAGGAATATAGAGTAAAAAAAGGAAATCCAACCAGTCTTGATGAGACAAAAATTTGGTTTCACAAAGCTGAAAAAATTCATTACAAAGTCTCTGTTGTATAAATATAGTCAGTCTTATCTTTAATGTAGAGTCAGACCAAAAAAAAAAAAAAAAAAAAAAAAGGTTTTGTTGGCATAAGAAATCCCCTGGTCCTTGAATATGCTACAATCTTCATTTGTACTCCCAGCCAAATGCAGGTGACATCTACGTGATGAGAGTTACTTGTGGGTCCTAAGACTTTAGATAACTAAATGGAGTTTAAATATTCCCTCCCCTGGCCCCACACTCCCTCCCCCGATAGCCTGTGCAAACCACTGCAGCCGTAGCGTAAGGGCAGAAGGCTTTTCCCACGTACCATCTGACATGTCTGTTCTCAAGCTGACTGGTGATGGAGACACACCTCTGTGTGTATACTGAAATCTATTGAATTGTATATTTTAATTGAGGGAATTATATGGTATTTGAACTACGGCTTAAAAGAGCTATTAAAAAATATCTAACATGGTCTAAGTTGCCAGGAGAGCAACAGGTAACTGAGTAGCAGGACTCAGGAGCTCCTGCAGGACACAGGGAAGATCCACAGGAGTCAGTACATGAAGGGACAGGAAAAAGGGCGGTATTTAAAGCCTTGTGACTAAATCGTTACCCCCAGGATTGAGTCTGGGGGTACTCAGTTTCAAGATGTCAGAATAAAGAAGTCAACAGGGTTATGTACTTTCCCTACTGCTTCTAGAATAGTCTAAGGCTGGTCAGTGGCCTTTGTCACAATAGCAAGTTATTCATCGGGCAGGCAGACACCCAGGGTGTTGCTGAGGCTGCAGAAAAGCTGGGGCCAGAGCTCAGGAGCTGGCTGTCTGCATCCTTTTGGAGAAGTTCCGGCATCGCCACCGTGTCCGAGAGCCTGGCTCCCACAAGGGGAGGGAGAATTTGGGTACCCAAAGAGATACTTCTAGATTTTTTGAATCAAAGGGACGGCCTGCCTTCAGTAATGCTGCTGCTGGCCCAAAGTCCCAGCAGGGTTTCAGTTCTCACCCTGTGATAAGACCATTTCTGGGACAGCAATGGCTAATAAGACCAGCCAACCATTTTGTGGCAGGCAAACCACTTAGAAATGTCCTCTTCGTTCTCTACCTTCCATCTGGTCACCAATGGCCACTCAAGAAAGGAGATGGGCACAAGCCATGGGCACCTGGGCCCTTGACCAAGGGATGGTCATCCTTGCCTGATAGAGTGGCAGAATTGTCAGTAGTAGGCACAAAAGGGAAATTTAAACTCATTCGCTCTGGTTTTGCCATTCTAGTTAAAGTTCATCGATTATAGTCGGTATAAAAGTGGAGAAAAGGACACGGAGGGTACTTGCTTTACTCACCTTTCTAAAGGGACGCTGCCCGAAAGTGGGGTCAGAAGTCTGTTTCGCTTTTCGGCACACGAAGAAAAAGAACAGGAAAAAGGGAAGGACAGGGGCTTGGACGCATGACGTGTGCCAGCTTGGTGAACGCCTCGTTCAGCTCCCCTCGCAGTTTCCTCCTCAAAGACTGACCTGGCTCTTTCACTGGGGTTTGGGCCTAGGAGTCAGTTCCCTTTCTGGCCTGCCTTGAAGTTGTTTATTCTGTGGCGAAGTGGGAGAGTCAGCTTGTAAGCAGACATTGCCACCTCAGGTCCCTTCCACTGTGGGCTGGGTCCCTCAGTGTGGCCCCATTAAATATGTGGCCTCCTTGTGTTCCTTCAAAATATGATACCCCTGTTGCATGATATGGCCCAAGCCTCTAGGAATGGGGCACCCAAGGATGGGGAATTGTCCCCACGGGCAGGGTTTGTCATCTTTGTGGGTAAAGCGAAATAAAAACATCTGGGTTTGGGGCTTACCTAGTTATCTTTAGGGTCATGGAGAGATAGTGAGAGATCCTTTTTTTTTTTTTTTTTTTTTTTTTTTCCCATGGGGAGAGTAGATCCACTAGGGCTTTGGGCATTTTCTCAGTGAACTTTTTCCTTTGGCTCCAGTGAGAATATTTGTCTTTTACTTAAGAAAAGAGAATTAAGTATCTAGTTTAAAGAACAAAACAAAACCTTCCTTATTGCCTCTGTCTGTGCTCATCAAGCCTCTTCGTACCCAGGCCTCACCCCCCTGGGCCCTCAGCCTGTCCACTACACTCAGTCTGAGCTGTGGATCCAAGAGATATGAATCCAGGCGACCACGAAGACGGTCCATCAGGGACACCAGCACCCTCGTCACCAGCCTCTCTCCTAAAGACAGCACGAGCTGAGGGCATGCGATCAGGGAAACTCCCAGCTGCTCCTGCCCTTAAATAAGAGGGCAGAGGAATCTTCTTCGGTTTCTGTACTTAAGAAGAGAGAAGTCTTTTCATTCCAAGGCTATAAGAATTATGAGCAGATGAAGAGCTCTGGCAGCTGGACCATTTTGGGAAAAAGCAAGCAAGGAAGTGATATACAAACAAAGTGTGGGTATATTTGGCAGGTTTGAGGCAAGCAGAAAGGAGGATTTGGGTATTCTATAAAAAAACAAAAGATCTAAAATTCACACTTCTTCTGATAAGGCCACAATGAAGAGATTCCCAGCAGTGGGTGTTGCAGGAAGCTGGCACCCAAAACTCCACAGGCTTGCAAGGTGGTGTGCCGAGGGAGGGGCAGGGCCGCGCCTCTCACAGGTCCACGTCGGGGCCCCCTGAGGATGTCTTCAGTGGCACCGAGTCAAACCCATCAGGAGTCCTCTGAAAGAGAGATGGTGACAGGAGCTGGCTGCTGCACAGGGGCACGTTTGGGGAACAAAGGAGAGAAATGGAAAATAGGTGACAGAAGGAACCCTTATGGAATTCCCGCGTTCAGTGGCTTTGTGGAAACATAGAGATAAGATACCCTCTATTCTTCTTGCTCCCTGCTGTCAGCCAGAGGATAAGGAAAATCTTTAAAACCCTCGGCTTTGCACCTTTGCTGAAACTCCAGAAGGACTCAAGGGTCCCAGGGTAAATTGCTCTCCCATCAGTTTAAAAAACATCAAGATCTGAGAAGGCCAAGGGAGTCGCCCCGGTAGGTCAGCACAGAGGGAATGAGAGCCGGCCGTCTCAACACCCACCTCCTTTCTTTCCTCACTGTCCCTCCTGTCCTCCGCTTCTGCTTGCACCCTCCCTGCCCACGCCCGTTCGGATGAGTTGGTTCAGGGCACCGGTGAGGTGTGGGTGTTGGCCGAGGGGGGCTGTAGAGGCCTGTGGCCCTGGAGGAGGTGCGGGGATGCGCGCTGCTGGCCTCACGCCCAGCGACAGTGCTGTCTGTCTGGCATTTACGAGCTTCAGACTCACTCAGCCACCCACGCAAAGCCAACGCTCCCCGCTCAGAATTGCTCAGTGCTGAACAGCTCAGACTTAGTCATGACTCAGCCCCCAAGGGACCGGGGCCAAACATCTGGGGGCCAGCACCCCCCACTGGCCAGAGGAGAGCCTCACTTCTATCTGAAGTTGATCCTAGACATCACCTCTTCCCCTCCCTCCAAAAGAAAAAAAGGGGGGAAATGATTCTTACAACGTGGATGGTTCAACACTCCTTCTGGAAGTTAAAAGGCCCAAACAGTTCATCAACTGGAGTGCATGTTGGGAGAGAAGGAGCCTGGTCAAGAGCAGCCTCGGGCCCCAGGGAAAAGAGGACTGGTGTGAAAATACAGAAGGCGGAAGCCAGGGTTTTCAGGGTGGGGGGAGAGAATAGCACAGCAGCTGGGGAGCAAAGCAGTGGGCCCGGGGCAAAGTGGGGCCATTCAGTGTCTAGGACTGGTGTCTTCTCCGGCCCTCCAGGCTGACCTCAGTGCACTGGCCAGCTCCCTACCTTGGAGGTAAATGATTTGATCTTCCCAAAGAGGGACTTCTTGCTGGTGAAGATGAGGTCATCCTCCACGTCCTCGCCTTCCATGATGGCGCAGCTGTCAGCTGCTGGCAGGTCATAGTCCTTAAGGGAAGCGTTCATCACCAGCTTGGAGTACTTGTACTCTAGTCTGTGAAACAGGGATGAGAAAAACAAGACCCCGAAATGTAGAGTAGGCGGAGGAAGGGAGAGAAGGTAGGCTCTAGACAGACATTCCCAGACCATGGGTAAGGAACCCCGAGCCAGCGAAGCGCTGTGGGGCTGGGCACATAGCTAGGCAACCCTGGATCCCCGGTCAGCGATCTTTCTTCCTTCAAGCTGGCTGTTTCTTTGATTTCAAAGCTTAATATAAATATTGGCATCAAACTCTTTTTTATTATTAATAACAAATTAAGGATACTCTTTGCTTTCCTTTCGAGAACCTAACAGCCATTTGTAGACGGCCATGTGGTACCGTCCCTGTTCAGGAGTCAGGACAACCAACGCATACGCTGTAAGTAACTCAGCAAGTCTCTGACCAGAGTCACAGGGTCTGTGGTCAGCTCCAGAAAAAAGCCCAATGAATGTACCCTCTCAGATGATCCGGCTCAGTGATGCAACCCTGTCCACCCCCAAGCTCCAACGCCCCATCATCATGTACTTTTGATTCTTTTTCCAAAAGTAGCAGGTCAAGACGGTGAGCAGGATGGCAGTACAGGTGCCCGCAGAGATGCCCACTTTCAGCCAGAAATCTATTGTTTTGCAGATGGTGACTCTCGGTTCAGGCAGGGAAATGCCATTCATGCATAGCTTCGGTTCTCGCCACACGTAGGTAGTTTTCTGTTGGGGAGAAAAACAAGGGACTCGCATGTCACTTTCCCTTCTCTCCTGGGAAGTCTCCAAGCAGAGAAACCTACCTGGACCCCAGCCACGCAGCTGCTGATGATAGCATGGTAGTCGGCGGCCGAGCAGAGCGGGCAAGCAGCCGCACTCTCCCACAGGAAGTGAAAGTTGCAGCCATCACAGGTCCCACCGGAGCACGTGCTAGACAGCGAAAAGGAGACTTCAGCTCACTCGCTGGACAGGCGGGGAAGATCTGCTTGGAGTCCTTTCACCTCATAGCCTCATCCATCCTCTCCCTGACAAACTGTTAGCTCCTCCACCAGCATCCTTCCAGCGAGTCCTTAATTCAGTTTCGTGCGCTAATTTCCCTGAGGGCAAGCGGCATTCCCAGCCTCCACCGGGTTCTGCACCCCACGTTTGTTTCTGCCGACATCCGAGGAGCGCCAACACAGGGCGTTTAGGCTCTAGCACGCTGCCCCAGCCAACCCCCAGAGGCTCCTGTTCTCCCCGTGGACCTGCGACATTTTGCAGAGGTCACTTTGATGCCGCTTCCTGGTGGTGGGGTTAAAGAATGGACATTAGGTCATGGGTTATCTATTATTTCCTTTCCTGTGATGGTGACATCAAGAAGAGTGGTCTCACACTACTGAGTCCAATGTCCTGCTTTGCCCCCTATCTTCCTGGTCACTTGTTTAGGAGAAGCATTTCCTAAACCACCTTCCTGGAGGCATTAGTGCCCCCTTGAGATGTTAATTGGTGCTATGTGGACAAAAGGGAGGGGGTGGAGGGGTGCTGTGATCAGGTAAGTTTGGAAATTCTCAATTTGCTGCACTCAGCTGTTAAACTCAGAATTGGAACTTTCAGCTGTGGAGACATTTCTTGGATTCCCTAAACCTTTATTAATCCTGATTATAGCAGGCGCACGCCAAGCATCATGAGGTGTCCTCAAGTCTCATTGTCTCTTTTAAATCTCACAAGAACCCCCTGAGGGAAGTTATTAGTATTCCCATGTTATAAAAAAGGAAAAAGGCCCCCTGGGGAGGAGATGCGTCACATCCGTCTCTCAGCCAGCTGCGCTGCTATGCAGCGGCCCCCATAACAGTCTGGGAATGTGATGGCAGCTTTGACTCTTCCTTCTGCCCCATTCTTGACATGGAGATTGAGGGTTTGGAGCATGACCATATCCCCAAGGGCCCAATAGTGAAACTCAAGACTGTTCTCTCGCGCGCACTTTTTCAGTAATCCTTGGCTCCTGGGATGGAGCAAGTCCAAGGAGGGGTGACTGTGTAATCCCTTTACCTGGGCAGTGACAGGCTCCCAGGGGCAGGTTTCAGCGGACTGCACCTGACTCGGATGGTGGTAGATCTCCCAGAACTGCAGGACTGGGTCACCTCGTTGGACCTGCGGTGGAAGCCAGCCCCCATGAGGGAATAAGTCTCTCGCTTGTGCCATTGGAGAGACACTAAGTGAAGTCAACATGGAACAGGTCCCTTGCTGGGGAAGTCAGGACTTGGGCTACGGCCCGACACACAAGGAGTGTCTAGGCCTTGGTTTATCCTTGGGGAGGTGGGGATGAGGAAGATCCGGTCGAGGGGAGGTGCAGCGGTCTAGAGAAGGTGAGCGTGTGCGTAACACCGGAGTGTCCTTCGGAGGAAAGAGAAGCCTGCAGATCGCCCCACAGTTCTCCCTGCCTCCACTGCAGACCTGCCCCAGGAACACCCAAGAAGCTGGGATCAGGGACCCCTCAGCCTTCAGCTATCATTGCTGGGCAGACCTGCTAGACCTTGGACATGTTCTGGCTTCATAAATACTAAGAGCTAAAGAACGGGGGTGCAGCAGAAATTGTGAGGAGCCCCGAGTTTCACTTGCATCGGCCTGGCCTCACACCTTCACCTGTAAAAGAAGATCACGTCCGGTATTCCCGAGGGCTCCGGGGGGAAGAGTTCAGCTGGGGAGGCGATGCCATCCAGAGTCATATCTGTCGTCACCCCTGCCAAATCAGAGGTCCTAATTAGTTCTCACTAGTAGCGCTGGCTGGCAACGACTTCAGCTCTTTTAGCACCTGTCCGTATCCAACCTCCCTTCACCTCGTCACATGCCCTCGCGGCTCCTGAAAGGGCGAGCCGCAGGTTTGCCAGAGGTCCCCGGGCACTTGATACCCCAGGGTGGAGGGGAAAGCAGGCCAGGCAGCTGGGCGCCTCCTTTGGGACCCCTCACCTCAGAGCCCAGCGGCCCCACTCTCGCATCCCCGCACGCATACTCGCCCAGACTGGAGCGGCCAGGTCACTCACCGATGAGTTGATCGGCGAGGCTGACAGGCTGCAAGGACACGCCAGCCTTGTAGCCTGTCACCTCTGGGGGAATGATGAGCACCTGGCAGACGTAGGCTGTGATGGATTTGGAGAACTCTGACTCATCCTCAGGAACCCGGAGGTCAGTGACATTGTTGGTGCACACGGACATTTTCTTACCCTGGGCAGGGGGTGCAGGTGGGGCGGGGGGAGAGAAATAGGAAGGAGTGAATGGTCACAGGGCGCCCAAAAGGGAACAGTTTTTTTTAATATATAAGTAAAATTTAAAATTTTTAGCCTTCTAATGGTATGTTGCAGTGGAATAATCCATCCCAGATCTAATTATAAGCAACTTTAAAAAAAGCTAAAAATAAGGCTTAGGTGTCCTAGTTTCTGGAACTCTGGCCCAGGGGAGCCCAGTCTTTTTGTTTCATTGGAGTCCTGTGGGGACCCTACCTGTGCAGGCCTGCAATGGCAGCAGCTGATTGGGAGATCTAGTCTACCAGTTAAGGGCCTTCCTTATTGTAGTCAGTTTTCCAGACAGACCCTGAAATACGTGACTGATCCCATGAGAGTGTTGAACATCTGACCTGGTTCACATTCCTTCTCTGTGTCCCGCTTGGTGTGGCGATTCCACTATGCTTGTCTCAGAAGCACTTTCCAGACAGACACTTCCAGGGGTTAAAACAGACAGACCCCAACACTAGCCTTCCCTGCCTTGAGATGGGACATCGTAGGGCTAATTGGAACCTTTTCTATTTTTAAAAAATCGTCAAGAGAAGACAGCTGGCTTCTCCTTCAGTTTTTAGCAACCCTCATTGTATAGGAAATCTGGAAAATGGTATGAGTTGAGATTCTTTCCTTGAGATTTTGAAATAGAGAACATATTGGGATATTGTTCCCTCAAATATAGTAAATTTATGAAATACCAATATATAACTTGTTTGCAAATATCAAATCATTTGTTCAATATTTTAAATTTAAGTAGATTAAGCATTTAGAATGTAGGGTTTTCAATATTATACATTTTATTACAAATTGAGCTAAGTTGCTAAATCTAATATCTCAGTTTATTTTCTAGGTTGTAAGAAATAGAGATGAGAGCAGAAAGAAACCTCAAATTATAATAAAACACAGTAACACTATCTTTGAACTGAGGGTCTGGAGTGTGACAGCACACAGTGAGCATTTCCGGAAAGAATAAAGGAGCAAACAAAAAATGAGACAAATTCCAAATTCCTCATCGTCATCTCTCCCAATGAAGCTTTTGCTCTGTGGGGCTTTAATTAGTCTCGTTTCCTGAGTTATCACTGTCACTTCTGAGGCTTCAACTTCTTCAAAAACTTTTAAAAACAAAATAAGACATCCATCTCTAACCTTTCACAGATTACTCTGTTTCTTGACATGTCCCCTTATAAACACAATTCAGCTCCTTTTTTGTACGCTGCAGAATATGGGTAGAAACCACGCGGCGTCAGTGGGGGCAAAGCTGTACCTCCACACACGGTCCCAAACGAAATGCTCAAGATGATCTTTATTTTGTAACATCGGAAACTAGTTTTCCAACTGCAGACCCTGGCTTGTTTGTAATTCAGTCAAGTGCTATAGAGGTGTGATTGCCTGTTTCTGCCTTCGGGTTTTGGATAAAAGTATTTGCAGCAGCATGAAATGACTGGTGGTCACAGTCTCCCCTTAGCACATTAGTAACGGCTTTCATGTCACTTTCTTTTCTGCTGTCAGCAAAGGTATACATGTAGATGAACTAAGAATAGTTTATTTTATCTGCTTTCTAGGAAACAAATGACACATACCATGATTATTGAAAACTGCTTTCTTAAGGAAAAAAAAAATCTTCCTCCTTCATAGTTTCTTTTTTTTTTTTTTGGCTATTATTTTTGTTTATTTTTTAGTATTTGTATTGATGATGCACCCACATTTTAATTGCTTTTTTTTTTTCTTTCTGGTTGCATATTATGACAAAATATGCTTTAGTGAAGACAACAAAACAACTTGTTGGCCACTTGTCCTTACTTCTACCCCAACTACAAGAGTGGATCCCAATGCCTTTATCTTAACATCATTACCTCTTCATATGGGACTCACCAGAGGATGGACTAGCTAATGTGCTGTCTAGACCCATCTCATGCCTGGTTCCTAACGGACTATGCCAGGGGGTGACACAGGTTAGGTGTGGGTACTGGAGGTGGGATCCTGAGTGGTCCACCTACAATCTACTCAAAAATATGGAACGCTTCACGAATTTGCGTGTCATCCATGCGCAGGGGCCATGCTAATCTTCTCTGTATCGTTCCAATTTTAGTATATGTGCTGCCGAAGCGAGCACCATAGTTTTTAATATGCTCATTTTGAGGGAATGAAGGTCAGGGAGGAGTAAATGGACGCCTTATTTAAGACACTTTCATTTTCCGAAGTTTTTAAAATCCAGATGACTTAATTTTAAAGGAGGGAGTACTCAAAGAAAATAATAGTCATTGTGAAACCTTTCACCTCCTCAGTCCCCTGCTGCCTGGAAGTGAGCTAGCTAGCTCTTCTGTGTCCATCTCTGGCCACCGAGCCACTGGGAACCTCTTTCCGTTCTCACACAATCAGCATTTGCACACTTTACCTGGTTTCCACAGAGACTGAAGGTAAAGTGATGGAAATATTTGAGCCCTTTGGAAGTGAAGCTCGGCCCTCCGGCCAGGGAGACGGTGTCTGCCAGGGCGGAGAAGTTGTAGTCCAAAGTCCTGCTCGGAGTGCTGATTGAGAAGGTGCAGTCGTTGTAGCACAGAGAGTGGATCTGAGGGGACAGGGGTCGTCAGGCCAGCTGCCGGGGCAGGGCCTTCGAGGGGACTGCAGCGGAGACCCAGCCTGGTCCAGCCCAAGGAGGGTAAAAGAAGAGAGAGTAAGGATTGCAGGTGGATCCTTACTTTAGGCATTAAAAGAAGTGAAACAGTGGGCTGGTGGCGCATCTGTGCATCTTGCCATTCAATTATTGGCACATATATGATGTACAAACCCAAACCTGTTATTTTTCAATAAGCAGTTGGCTCAGACTCTAGAGCCTCGTCCCTAGGCTTAGATTATAGACCTCTCTCAAAGCACAAAATAGCCCTTCTTACTTTCAAGCGGGAGATGACGAGGTGCTAACTGGACGAAGGGCGTCCGGGATGGCAGGAGAGAAACTACAAGCCTTGACCCTCCTCTCATTTCCAACTCACAGACCCCTGCTTTCTCCTTCCCAGGGTCCATGTAGGACACTGAACTTCAGAGGGGGCTTCATTCCCCAGGAACCCTTCGTTGCCTCATTTTCGAGTCCTCAGGCAGCCGCTGCCTTACACAGCTGTCGTCCCCTCCTGCAGCAGCAGGGGGAGCCCCAGGAGAAGCTTGTGGCCAAAGTCCAGGGTGCCTCAGAAAGACTGGCAGGGGTCTGTACAGTTGTTGCAATTACTGAGCAGTGAAACTGAGCAGTGTTTGCAGACTATAAATGCCTTTCAGGTGTATGTCCATGCGGTTGTGATGGGTAAAATACAAATGCACTCAAAAGCATTAATGACTGCTAAAGAGCTTTTGGTAATAGTACCCTTTTAGAGTCATACAGTACATGGCCAATAGCAGTTTTTCCACTTCACAAGAAACCACAGGGATGAAAGACAGCACCACCAAGTAACTGTACATCCCAGCAAAGGTGGGTTACCTTCCCAAAGGAGAGGGTCAAACTCCCACGATAGAGGGCTGGAGTGAAGCAGGTCTGAGTTTGAGCCACAGGTCCCACTATTTCTCCCCTTCAGGTCTCTGCACGGATGCCATAGCCCTCTGGACCAGGCGGTCACAGATCTCCCTTACCCATCCCCGGGCGACGAGACCTGCCCATGACTGAGGCCTAGACCCTGCAAATCAACTGCTCCAGGTAAGAACTTGCCATCCACGGTCCCAGCCTGGGTGGGTGCCCTCCAGGACTTCACCCTGGGCGTTTGCTATGGGGAGCACCTGGGGATCGGCCCCTCAAGACCCCCCTCTAGGACCTGCACGCTCTGAGCGGTCCCTCCAGAGGCCGGGTTAGGATGTGCGACACACTGCTGGCACCTTGTTGCTCTTGGTCCCTGGACCGCAGCGCGTGCAGGCCTGGGCTCCATAGGGCTGGTGGGCTTTCAGGATGGTGTCAGGGGGGCAGGAGTGGCAGGTCCCTGAGTCCCGGTCAATGTAGTTGCCAGCAGGACAGGAGGTGCAGGAGGAGCCCATGTCAGAGGCTTCCAGGGCGCAGGGCCGGCAGTAGGAAGCCACCCCATTCATGACGTTGGTGACATTGATGGAATAGATCTTGGCGACATCATTGGTATACTTTCTGCCCTGGAAACAAGGAAATGAGAGAGGGCAGGGGCCTGAGACGCCAGCTGCAATTGCGTTCTCTGGAAATAGTCAGTTACTGCTCAATCTTTTTTATCCTGTAATACTTGAGAAAAACCTGATGGGCATCCTGTTCTCTTTACTCACGGAACAGAAGTGCTCTACGTACACTTTGTGTCATTTTAAAACAAATGCGAACCATTTTAAATGATGTATGAAACTATTAAGTGCCATGGGGGAAGTATGTTGTAGATACTGTTACATGAAAAAAACAGGTCTTTTCCTTGTGAAAGGAAAAAAGTATTTGTAGGGTGTCTCCTGGATAGGAGACACTCAGATGTTAACTGGGGTATGTCTGGGGAGTAGGATTATGCATGATTTACTTCTTTTTGCTTCTTTCTACCCTCCGAGTTTTCTGCAATTAACCTGCATCACTTTGAGTTAAGAAAATAAAACCAGAGTTGTTATTATTAAAAACAATAGCAGAAATGTACAAGGTGTACCAGGTGAGGCGACCGTGCATGTCCTCAGGGGGCTGCTGAGGAGAGACAGGTAACTGCAGGATCTCACCTGGAAGTCCTTTGGACAAGGTTAGTTGCTTCTCGGGGGGTGGAACAGGCAGTTCCCTGTGCGACTCCTTAAGATCCTTCTAACCCTTGGATTCTGAATGGCACAGTCCGACTTAAACTAGTGCTGGGAGTCCTCCTGGGCTCAGGGGTCTCTTCTCGGGGCCAGAAACCCGAGGAAGGGGAGGAGCTTACCACCTCATGGAAGGTGGTTCTCTGGAAGGCCCAGGTGAAGGTCATGGTAGCATTCTTCTCGATGATGTAGGTAAACGACTGCTTGCCTTTGGAGCCTTTCCATGTCTCCACGGGAGTGTTGGCCCTAGAATTCGCACCCTGAACCCAAGAGAGACGAGTGAGGAAGGCACGATGGCCAGGTGGCTCGTGGGGAAGAGGGCAGTCATAGCGCTGCCACCCTGGGGTCGTGGCAGCTGGCCGGACCCACGTTAAACTGGGAGGTCCCTGGCAGGCAGTCTGCGCTTTCCTCTGTGAAATCACTACGGACAGGGGTGTCCGTTATGTTGATACACCGAAGGGGCCGAGGGGGCCAGCCCTCCCAGTAGCCCGCTCCGGGAGCCCCACCGCAGGCAAAGAAGGGAGACATACCACCATGAAGTAGAGCTGGCAGTCCACAGAGCAGATGATCTCGAAGACGAATGTGATCCTGGCCACCTCTTTATTCTCTGTGTCTGCCATCACTGACTGCAGAGGTCTGTGGGTCGGAAGTTAAAGGTCAGTTCCAGAGGCCAGGCAGTGCTTACTGAAGAGCCCAGAGCACAGCAGAGGGCCTGCCGGGGCACAGGATTAAGTTCTGAGTATGTAAAGAGAGAACGGGCGAAGTCCGGTTCTGCCTCCTTAGCTGCGTGACCTTGACGTAGCCAAACTGTAGTGTTCTCATCTTTAAAATGGACATAATAATATCTTTCTTATTCGCCTCTCACCATTGTGGTAAGTTCCAACAGCACAGCAGATGGGGAAGTGCTGTGTGAGATACAGCCTCTCAAGCAGAGTGTGGTCCCCAGACCAGCGGCATCGCTGTCACCTAGAGCTTATTAGACATTTGGAACCGCAGTCCCCTCCCCAGATCCCCTGACTCAGAATCTGCACATTAACATGATTCCGAGGGATGCATATGGACATTAAAGTTGAGAAGCACCTCTATCATAAGATGTAAATTGTCTACTTTCCCTTAGCAGTTCACTCTCTGGGATAGTGGGAGCTTTGCCAGGGTTGAAGGAGGAGATATTTCAACTTGTAATCTCTTCAGCCAAGGTCTCAGGCTGGTCCTTCCTTCGGGGAAGAGAGAGCCAGGCACAAAGCCAGGGGCGTGGAGGAGGGTGGGGAGGGGGGGAGTGAGTGCGTGAGGTGTAGAAGCCTTTACTATGGTGATCATATTTGCAAGTTGGAAAGTACTTTTGGGAACTTTACCCCCCAAAAGCCTAAAAATGTTCTTACATATCAAACACGGGCTATATCTCTCAGCCTTGAGTAATGTAAATTAAGGGAAGGGAAATTAATACCATCCAGGCCACTGCCACGGACCGAGCACCGCACTGGGGATGGGCAGGAGGGAGCTGAAGGAGGGACTGGAGGAGCCAAATGGCAACAGGAAGCCCATTCAGTGGCTCCCCCTCAATTTTAAGTGCTCACGGGCAGAAGAGTTTGCTTTCGCTTTAGGAATCTGTGTATGGCTTTTTTCTGGCTTTAGCTGTCTCTTGAATTCTGAGGACCTCCCAGTTCGAGCTTCCGCCTACACAGCTGTGCTAGCGAATGGACCGGGAGAGTCACCTCAGTGTGAGCTAGCCCACATTCACAGACCGCCGGGCCCTCTCGTCTTAGAGACCCCGAGCCGAAAGCCGACAGGGGCACCGTGGCTTTGCCAGTCCACGAGGCCAGCAGGTGGCAGAGCTCAAGCCCTGCGTTCCAGTCTGGTGCTCATCCCATCGTACCACACTGTCTGTAGTATTTTTATTTTTAATGGCAAGCAAATTGTTTATTGTCCTAGATCTTCTTGGAATAAGGGGATAAATGTGGCAGTAAGAATAGTCCCTCCCAATTATCTTGCCCCAGATAAAGATGAACTGTCTACAGGGACTTCTAACCCTATTCAAAAAACAATTTTTTAAATCTTATCTGATGCTCTGAGGAGGAAAAGTATAAGTAGTATGTGGCCAAGTAATGGAAGACGCTAGAAGGGATGGGAGAGCGGTAGGTAGTTTGCATGGGCAGCGTTGAGGCCGCTGTCCTGCCAGACTGTGCTCCCTCTGTCTGAACCGATGCGTCAGCATGCCAGAGCCCTCCCCCTACCACGTTCCAAGGTATGCGGGACGTGGACACGGCCAAGGCAGCACCGGCTTCCCTTTGGCTTTGTATTCCTCACCTAAATCCTGGCACAACCAGAGTCAGAATCATGAAGTCATTGTCTGAGGCTCCAACAGCTGTGTAAATGTGATCGCCAGCCACCTCCCAGCCTGGGAAAGGAAAGCAGAGAGTCAGCACCCCAGTGGGGTCTGGTGCAGGGCAAACTTGCGCCCCTATGACACTCTGGAAGAGTGGCAATACTGTCCTCTGAGGCGCCCAAAACCACTGACAGATGCAGACCACGTCACGCCTACCCCGCCACTTTGGTCAAAGACTCTGGTGCTCTCCGAGCAAGGCCTCTGGGACATGTGCTGGCTGCTTCTAGTTCAGTTTCTGTCCCTGAGACTGAGATGTGGCAGAACATTTGCCCATGAGGAGTGGAACTTTCCAGGCAACATGTGGCCTGCTTAGCTCATTTTTTCTCCAGACGTCACCAGTATGCAAACATGGTGTTGGAAGGGCCCTGCGGGTATACGGGGAGCTGAGCACATGGGCGGGGGAGAGGCCCTTACCCGTCATGCCCTTGTACTCAAAGTTGATCCCACTGAGAACAGTCGTTTCCATGTTCGCGGGCAGCGTGTTCCACCATTTGTATTCAAATCCCACAACAGGCTCCGTGCCAGCTGGGCAGTGGCTACAATCTGGGGGGACCACAAGATCCACACATTCAGCAAGAAGGCTGCAGCCACCCTGACTGGAGCTGCTGTCACACAGACAAGTGGCAGCAGTCGTGGGCAGCCAGACAAGGGTGGTGCTGAGCACCACTGCCCAGTTATATGAAGTTGGCCAAAAATGTCCCGGCAATGCATTTAACAAACATAAGCAGAAAAGACCAACCCTTCCTTCCCCTGTTCCAGCTATCCGCCTTGCCCACCCAGGTTTTCCTTTCGAAATGTACACATATCTTCTAGTCTGGTCCATATAGTCCATGTTATTTGTCGCCTTCTGGGCAGTAAATGCATTCACATGAATAGGTACTCAAATTCCCCTCCCTGCTCTCTGCAGCAGGGCCTGGACGTCCCTAAGTGTCAAACTGTACACCTCAGCTCGCCAAGCCTTCTGGTTAGCACCCCTGCCACATGGCGGAAGCCTAGGCGGTGAGGGCAGGGTACCTGCAGGCCTGAGTCACTGACGCAGGCAGAATGAGAGGAGCAGGCAGTTCTCCCATGTGACTGCGACTCATGGACAGCGCCACCCTGACTGCTCTTCTCCCGAACTTAGTCCTCAGGGGTGCCTGGCCCTCCCTGCCTCCCTCGGAAGGGCAGCCGACCGCCCTGAGTGCCCTGGCAGCCGGCTCTTGCGGGTGACATGGGGATGGGGGAGCTGCAGGTAGCGGGCGGGAAGGGTTACCAGAGCCGTTGGAGTACGACCCATAAGGGCAGGGCTCGCAGGTGCTGTTGCTGGTTTTGAAGAAGCCTGGGTTGCAGGGTGGGCAGCGGGTCTTCACGCCAGAGGCAGGCAGCTTCACGGCGCCCTCGAGGTCCTCGCTACAGATTTTCGGGTGGGCCCATTTGTACATGAGCTGTGTCTGCAGGGATGGAGCAAGAACGGCTCACCCTGTGCGCAGCCTGGCACATCTTTAGGAAAATGTACCTTGCGGATGGGGAGGTTCTGGGCTATGGCAAAAGCTCCACCAGGTGGGGATCTTTGTTTCGTTGATGTATCTCAAGCATGTGGCCCCGTGTCTGGCACACGGTTGTGCTCAGTAAATGCACGTTGAGTGCGTGCTGCCTGGATGAAGAGGGACACACCTAATGAGGACTTGTGTGACGCAGATGGGGGCACCCGTTGTCTCCAGAGAGAGCTCTGACTCCAATGTGGAATCTTACTACTACCGAGGTCACAGAAACAGCGGCTGGTACAGTCCCAGCGCGCCAAAGGCGTGGAATGGAGGCGGCCTACACGACCCCTGGGGAACGAGGGAGTGGCTGAGGTGTCCCAATTTGTCTTCTGGGTATTTTCTTTGCTCTTTCATTTATTCTGTAGACAGCTATTGAAAGCTGGTACTTGTGTGTGCCAGAGCTGGTGGCTCAGAAGTGAGTGGGAGAGACGTGGCCCTCGCCCCGCAGGAGCTCACCATCGAGCGAGGGCGGCGTCACCAACTCAGTAGTGATGGGCCACCGGTTGTGGGGGGGGGGTATGGGCGCTGTGCTCTGGGACGTTGAGGAAGGACTATGTTGGTCAAACGGTACAAACTTGCAGTTACAAGACCATTAAGTTCTGGGATGTCATGTGCAGCACGGTGATTACCGTTCATGATGATGTATTATATGCTTGGGAGCCTCTAAGAGTGTAGATCTTAAATGTTCTCACCATAGAAAAGAAATGGTAATTATGTGATGTGATAGAGGTGTTAGCTAACACTACACTGGTAATCATTTTGCAGTAATGTAAGTGTGTCAAATCAACATGCTGTACACCTTAAACTTACACAGTGTTATATGGCAGTTATGTCTCAGTAATGCTGGGCAAGGCAAGGGGAGGGAAAGAGGAACAGTGGTCAAGTCGCAGACAGGCGGAGCAGCAGACTATGGACCTAGAAGGCCTTGGCCTGAGTGGGAGGGGAGGGAGTGGAGCAGAAGGGAGCAAAGACAGCCACCTTGGGCCACAGCATGTGCCCAGAGAGAAGAGGACTGTCCTCATGTGATCAGTGAGTCAACCAAGTCCAAGAAAATGACAGTCTTTACAAGGTCACACAGAACACCAGACACTACAGAACTGAGTCTGAGGCGCAGGTGATAAGCTATATAGCCATTCTCACTTGGCTGCTGGGGAAAGAGATGCTGCTCCAAATGTGAGGGCCGGGGCGGGGGCTGGGGAATGAGAGATGGCTGTGAAAAGTGATCACTGCTAAGGGCCAGCCTTTGTCCTGTGCTCAGTTAGCAGAAGAATTCAGCCAGCGAGCCTGCAAAGGCTGATGCATGCTAATAGCCAAGCTTCTGCTCAGTGCTGAATGCGGGTGTCTTGGCCCCTAATTTTCTCTTCTGGAGAAGCCCTGCTTCAGAGATGCAGACAGTTCACCCGTGTCCGACCTAAGACAGACCCTCCCACGCGTGCCCCTGAGCCCCGTCCCTGCTCGCTGACTGCTGGCCCTGGTACTCCCCAGGCACAAGCCTGCCTCCTCCGCCGCACTGTGCCCTCCGCCTGGACAGTGCGACGGCTGCCCCTCACCCATTCAGGTCTCTGCTCAGATGTCACCTCCTCCGAGAGGTTGTCCCTCCCCTCTCTAAAGTAGCCTCTCCACCCTCTGTCACTCTCTCTCTCCAGATCCTGTTTTATTTTTAATCCCTACCACTTATCACCATCGGATACATCACGCTCCCATTTGTTATTTATCTGGTGTCTCTCTGCATTCACTCCCCAGCAAGAATTAAGCTCCCTGAGAGGAGACATTCCCTTGGTTTGGTCAATTGCTGGGTGCCTGGCGCCTGGCACAGTGACTGACTGTGGAAGTGAACAAATGACCTTCTCAGAGAGGCCTTCCCTGAGGGTCCCTGGTCACCCCTCTGCTGGGGTCCCCAGTACCCTGCACATCTTGATGCCTGGGTCGGGCCCACCTCCTGTCTCCATGCTCCCTGAGGGCAGGGTCTGCCTTAGATTCCCCCTTTGGAGCGCAATGCCGGCACAGCGGATCATCCTCCAAATGCGCAGACTGCAAAGGAAGGCCTTTCTGAGGCCAAAGTCCTGGGGGAAAGGGAGCTGGCAGAGAGTGAGCCAGGAAGAGGGATAAGTGTGATGAGCTCTGTGAGGAAATACGTGTGAGTGTCCAGAGGAGTGAAGTGAATGGAAGAAATCCAAAGAGGATGAAATGACTTTTTGAAACAGAGCCTATGAAACCGCAGGCGGACAAATGCGGCAAAAACAGTTTCTGGCCTGAAAATGAGTGAGGCCATCGGGTTTTGTCCCCACGGGCCCCGGAGTCACTCTGCAGGTCTCTGGGGTTTTCTCGGGTGCCAGCTTCAGTGGCCGCTGAAGCTGCAGGTGTGGTGAAGCAGGGAAAAGGGGCCGGGGCGCCACCCACCTCTCCGTTGGCATCACAGGCCGTGTGTGTGTAGAAGTAGTCCTTGTCTGTGCAGGCCGGGCGTATTTTGCAGGAAGAGGATCCTTTTTCTAAATCGCAAAAAGCAAGGGCAAATGTTTCAAGTTACACGGGAAAGCAGAGCTCCTGGCCGCTGCTCATGGCCCTGGGGCCCGGCACACAGAGACGCTGCGGAGGGCAGGGAGGCCCGCGCACTGACCCTTCCCTTGGCCTCAGCGGCAGAATGGCAGTCCCTAAAGCCAGGCTCTGTCAGCCCTTTGCACCACCCTCCACACCGCCCCCCCCCAACCCTGTGCTGGAAAAAGCCTCTCTCAGGTTTCCCTCCGCCCCCGCAAGTTCCCTGCAACCAGCCACCTTCCGGGTGCCTCAGAATCCCGGCTGCGTGCGGCTCCTGCTCCTGAGGGGTTGAAGTGAGACAGGAGCACTTAGGACAGTGGCTTCATGCCTTTATTCCAATTCTTGCTCTGAATTTTCTCTCAATATTTTCCTTCCACTTCCCTCACCCCTGCCCCCTAAACATCCCAGCACTCTCTCTGCACCTGGTGAAAAATGTTAACTCTCTCTGGGCCTAATGAAAAACTGCTTTATTTATCCTGCTCTCTGTATGCTTCTCATGTCTGTTAGTTCTGCTTTAAATCTATAAACACCTGGAGAGCAAGAATTATTTCAACGAACCCCTCTTTAAAGCAGTGGATTTCACCTTTTTAAAATTACGCATCCCTTTGAGAATTTGAAAAAAAGACCTGTTTTCTCTACCCAGAAAAATGTACATAATTCATGCATTAAATTTCCAAGAAATTTACTTTCCCCAGAATAAAAATCGCCACTGTATCAAATGCAAGTACAATACTAGCGCTGCTGCTGCTGTTACCGCTCCTGCCAGGAGGGCCGCAGTGTCACCTGCAGGTGAGCATTCGGTGACAGGAGACCGCCTCACTCTCCGTAACCTGACAGACAGTACGGTGGGCTGGAAGGAGATATACTAAGTCAGACCTGGGTCTGGATCCCGCTTAGTCATTTAGTTGCTGCGTCACTTTGGGCAAGTTACGTGACCTCTCGGAGCCTGAGTGCTCTCGTTCGAAAGGCAGGAATAATAGTATTTCCTCGGGCGAGGCCAGCACACCTGGCCCATTGTAAGCAGGGACTCACTAAATGCTGGTAACTCTTATTACCTGGGTTTGTAGGGGTTACTTTTAGTTGGTAACTGTCACGGGATTTTTAGTAAGGATTAAAAGTTTCTTTCTCTCCCTTCCAGTTAAGGGCTTATTTCTCAACTGACCTCTTTTTCTTCCCCAGGCACCAAAGGAGTTCCTAGATCAGAAAATTTCCCAGTTGCCGCCTGGGCGGCCTGCACTGGGGAGTTCCCACAGCCACACACCCCCACGCCTCTTCTGTCCCCGTCTTATTAGCTTGGGCAAGAGGGAACTGCTGGCTTAGAAGCAGCTGGGGTCTTTCAGCTCATTTACTTGGTTAACAGCAGAAGGCCTAACTCAGCAAGAGAAGTCAGGGCCTCCTGCCTTTGACCAACTTGGTCAGGAGAAGCTTGGGGGGAGAGGCTGAAAACACACCAATTCCCAGCACCTTGCATGGTAGGTCTAACAAATGGCAAGTTGCCTATTGGAAAGTGCATTCCACATAGGGGCCTTTCTCTGCTTGTCAAATATTTGCTCAGCCTGACATGCTAGCTCTGGGTTTCAGCTGTTTACACATCGGTGACTGCTAAGGCGGTGTTAGAAAATGATTAACCCAAATGTGGAGGGCAACCTCACTTGCCTGCCCAGGTTTCACCAGGTTTCAGGTTGAGTACTAGTCAAGTTTAGACGATTGGCCTAGATGTTTAAGAAAACGAAGTGATTCCTGTAGGATTGGCCCTGGCCAAAGCTGTGAGAATATAAAGTTAATCTTGGGGACCCCAACTCCTCTTTCTGCACCTTCCTCCTCTTCACAGTGTCTTCCCCCTGCCTTCTGGAGTACAGTGTTCTCCTTCTGATCCATTTTATCAAAAGAAAACATTTACCTTGAGGATGTGAGTGCCGACTGAACACATGGCCCAGTTCAGACACTACCCCAGGCTCTGGGAAAATGAATAAGCTGTTCCTTATTCATTTATAAATGGAGAGGTCACCCTAGTACTATGCTATGAGTGATAAATGGGGCAATGTTTGGAAAAGTGTAAAGTACTATACCAGCAACATATTATTTTCTACGCCAATAGTATTTTTACAGTAGCAGAGGACTGCTGGGACGGGCCTTCCTATAGGTGGATTAGTAAAGCTATTGCTCACTATCTGCCAGGCACTGTTCTAAGTCCTTTTTCTGTTATTTAATCCATACAATAACACTGTGAGGTAGATAGAATTCTTGCCATCCCATTTGACAGATGATAAAACCGAGGCACAGACAAATAGCTTGCCCAAGGTGGCGCAGCTAGCAAACGATGGAGCAGGGATTTCAATCATAGTGATTTGGTTCTGGGGCCCACGCTCTTAAATTCCATGCTATTCTATTAAGAAATGAATCCCTGTTATTAAAGGTAACACAAAGGAATTGCTCCTAATGATCAAATTTTAGGTATCAGCAAGAGGATGCTTCCAGTCAAGGCTTTGTCCTTAACATCCCCGCAGCCAGGAGCCCTACTGCAGCCTAGGTTCTGGATACCAGCAACAGAGCCTGTTGCACCATCTCCCAACCGCGACCTTTGCCTCCCACCGGCCATTCTTTTGCTCATCCGCTTTCCATATGGCAGCCAGAGTGGTCTTTCAAAAGCACAAGCCAGATCATGTCACGCCCCAGCTTAAAATTCCTTAATGGCCCCCACCGCTGAAAGGATCAAATCTCAGCATTCAAGCAGTGGCGCAGAGGACTGAGCCGTAGTCTGTCCCCTGCCCGCCTCTCAGCCTTGGGTGTGACTTCTCTCCGAGTGAGCTGCAGCCACGCCAGTTGCTTGAAGCCCCCTGAGCCTTTGGCTTCAGCTCGCACTTCTTCCAGGACATCTTGCCCTCACTTCCAGATTCTGCTCATCTCCCAGGACCACAGCCGGTGAAGCCTTTCCTCCCTGCCCAGAGAGGAGCGACCACATCCCTCCTTCGCCCCGCCGCACTTCCCACTCAGCGCTCCCGCCCCTGCACCTCCTACTCTATGACGTTACTGCACTTAGATGTTTCCGTAACCGAGCTTCTCCTCTCTGGCCTACGCTGGAAGGCCGGTACCAGCTCTAACCCTAGCACCAAGCTCAAGTCCTGGCACCTGGCAGGCACCCGGGACTTAGTTGTCAGTGGGCAACTAAATGGTCACAGGGTTTTCTGTCACTCCCTTCATACACATTCCATTGTGAGCTTTCTTCAGACTCTCTCTGCATTTTCCCAGCCTCCTGCTGATGCTGTGTTCTGGATGAGTCAAGTCCCAAAGAAATGTAACTGTCTTTGTACCCCTGGCTGGTGAGGTGGTCAAGAAGCTGACCATGTTCTTCTTCACTCCCCGGCCAAAGTGATGGACTGGGAAATCGGTGGCAGAAGAATAGACTCCAAAAATTCAAACTCCCAACCTAACACTTTCATAACAGCTGTCTGGATAAAAATCAGTTTACAAAGAGTCGATCAACACACAGAAGCACCTTGCCATTCAAACCCTTGTGCAATGGCTGGGCTGGGAAAGGGAGCTGGAGACTTAGCCCAACAAAGGCTGCCATTGATAGAGCAGAGAAGAGGAATAAGAAATTCAAGTAGATGAACAGGAATTTAGACTTATAGATAAAAACTTCCCCCAAGATCTAAACATCTCTTCTTGCTGAAATCTATACTCCTTTGGCAAGATCTGTATAGATAAACACAATTTTTTGTTTTAAGAATAGTGTAAAAATAAGCAGTTCACAAGGTTAGTGGTGGGTCTTGGCTGAGCAAACACATGCTGTACTCCTGCGTTAAGTAGGCCTTGAGCTGGGTTTGTACATGGTTCTGTGTAAGGGAGGAAAAATGAAATAGTTAAGAGTGTTTGCAGGGGAAGAAAAGGGGCTCCTTCCCCTGTGCTGTAGCTTTTTCAGAACCTGTCTTGGCGACCGGCCCCTTTGCCAGCCACTGGACTGTCTGAGCCCGGGGCCGTCTGGGAGCACGGCCTCTCCTCCGCCAGAATCTGCTGCCCCTGAGACCCCCCTCAAGTGACCGAGTCCTGTTTCTTAAGTTGGGATGCTTCAGGAACCTATCCAGAGGTAGAAATAGGCTGCTTCCCTTAGAAGAGTGGTTTTCAGACTGTGTTCCAAGGAACCCTGGACTCCCGAAGAAGTCCTGCTTTGAAGTCAGTGGATGCTCAGGCTGATAAAAGATTGTAACTGCCATCTTTAGCCCTTTTTATCAAAGTGTTTTGTTCATTAATACAGCCTCATGGCTCTTCTAAATTAACTTTGATAATGCATATATCTTTTATTTGTTATATCTTTCATAATTATAATCTTATATAAGGTTTCATTTAAACAATTGTTAAAAAAAAAAAAGATTGCAACTCCTTTCCCTGGCTCCTAAGTCCTTTAACATTGAGTTGTTTTTCCTTTTTGCCATGCACTTTTTACAGTCTAACACAGGATATAAATTTTATATATTTATTGTTTGTTATTAGTTATTTTTTATTGTCTGTCTTATCTCCTCCAGAATGTAATTTCCATGAAGACAGGGTGCTTTATCTATTTTGTTCACTGATATATTCCAAGCACCTTGAATAGTATCTGGCAAATAGTGGAGGCTCAATAGATACTTCTCAAATGACTTCATTTTTATATCCAGAGTGATTGGTGGAATGCAGATTGGCAAGGCTCTTCCAGGATCCAGAAAGCAAGAGCTTAAGAACTATCTGTCCAGCCCTGGCCAGTATGGCTCAGTTGGTTGGAGCATCATCCCATAAAACAAAATGTCATCGATTTGATTCCCTGGTCAGTCCTGGTCAGGGCACATGCCTAGGTTGCGGGTTCTGTCCCAGGTCAGGGTGCATGTGAGAGGCAACCCATTGATGCTTCTCTCTCACATGATATTTCTCTCCCTCTCTTTTGCTTCCCCTCTCTCTAAGGTCAATGAGCATGCCCTCTGGGGAGGATTAGGAAAAAAAAAAAAAAAGAGAGTCATCAGTCCAGAGCTTGACAAGAGAGTGGCTCTGCTTCCTGTTTTGCCCTGTGTTGGCTGGTACCCCTGCTGAACCCTCCCTGCCCTCAGAAACATCACCTGAGTACTTGTCAGGGTCGCACTGGTGACAAGAGGTTTCTCCCTTGTTTGAATAGGAGTTTTCTGGACAGAGTTTGCAGAAAGAGGAGCCCTGCGTGTCTGCGTATGTGCCGGGTTTGCAGGGGAAGCATTCAGAAGTGTAGGCCACCCCTGGGAAGGAAGGACACAGAAAAGCAAAAGTTAAGCCTGGACACTGAGCCCCCGGGGACTGACCCCCAGGCTTCCCCTGAAGAGTCACAGGCCAGAACCTCAGCAGCAGACCCCAGCCCCAGCCCCACTCCGCATACCTGTTATGGCGATGTTTCTAAGCAGCACAGGCTTGGAGACTTTGGACCACACTGAGAAGGCCGTGGTTCTCCAGTAGAGGACATTATTGCCTCGGTTAAGCTCTACCTAAAAACCACGGGCAGGAAGAGTTAGCTCAGCCTCAGAGACAGGTCCTCCTACTGCTACTGCGCTGGGTTCGCCTCTTGTTGGGGCCCCTCCCCCTTCAGGCTGCGTGGCAGTGCCTGTTCTGATCCTCTGCTCACTCCCTCAGCTTTCCCCTGCCTCCCATCTTGGCCTAGCTCCTCTGTCCTAAGCCTCCTTTACAGGCTTCTCCCACCCTTTCCCGCTTCTCCCTCAATCACATGCACCATAAGCGTCTCCGTGGCGAGACTGACGAAGGGGCCTGGAGGTACTGACAACAGGGTGCCTGGAATTCCCTCATTCTTCTCTGGTTCTATTTACCCACCTGCCATCCCCAGAAGACGGGCCCTTAAAGCTGGAAAGCTGCTGACCCTTGGGATCAAGCCAGAGGAGCAACAGTGTCAGAGCCCACACCCACATTCCGTCTACTCCAGAGGAGAGAAACTATGGCATCCCGCCAGGTCGGACCCCTGGCCCCTAGGGAGAGAAGGGTGGGAGCCTAGGCTGGGAGGAAGCCCTCCCTGGAGGGAAGGCCCTTGGCCCCTTCCCGGGGATTTCTAGGACAGGCTGGCGTCTCCAGGCGAGCGGCAGGAAGGCTGGACGGTACTCACACTGTGGAATTCCCATCCTTTCTCTGTCGTTCTCATCCACCGGGAGTCATCTGCATTGGGCTGGCACTGGTCGTTCTGGACCTGAGGCAGCAGGAGCGTGGGGTCAGAGCCCCAGCCTTCTAAGGAGCTGGGTTCCTTCCTGGTGCTGCAGCAGCCTTCCAGAGGCCCCTTCTTACGGAAGAGTGGCCCATTTCCTTTAGGAGCCAGAGCTCAGAACTTAGGAGCCTTGAAGTAGGGCAGGAGCTTGTCATACCCACAAAATGTCAGTGCATTGACACCAAAGAAATAGCGTGTAACTCAGGGAAGCCATTGCATGCGTGTTCGTGTCTGAGCGGGGCAAACCCCCCAGGGCCTCCTGGACTCTACTCCTCCCCCTCAGAGTCCCCTGCCCCTTTGAGCCTCAGCGCATTTTGCCCACAGTTCTCTCCAGAGAAAACAACTGTGAAAATTTCCCGAGCAGGACTGTGCTGGTGGTTCCTGCCTGAGCCACGGAGCGTCTTTCCCTCCCACCCTCCCCTTGGCCGGGGGCTTACATAAAACTCAAAGATGATGCTGGAGTCTGGATAGTAGTATTCGAAGTTGACAGAGCCCGACTGCTTCAGGTTGACGGCGTACATCAGCGTGGCCGTGCACTCGTCCGTGTTGGAGGCGATGTAGTCACCCAGGGGAGCCCACTTGGACCTGTGGGTTAGAACGGAGGCCAAGTTCACCATCAGGGGCATGGCCCCTCAGGCTTTGTGTGACCTTCTGGGTCTCTGGGGGAATTCCAGGTTTGTGATTGACGAGCAGCTTAGGCCTGAAAATGCTCAGTAAAGAATGACCTCCAGCCCATGGAGCCAACAAGAAGGGCCCCCGCATTATGCCCCTGCCAAGTCACTGCTTTGCTTGGAACCAGCTCAGGTCTCCAATTATTAACAATATCCCATTAAGGGGACCCCAGGTGAGGCCACTGGTTTCCCCTTTGTTTGTCAGAATCACAGGGTACTTCCAGCTCTTCAACGGTTAGTGTTATTCTCGAACGGAAGCACATCCAAAGTTCCTGCGCTGAGCTCATCTGAGACACGCCAGCTAACCTAATGGCACTGACTTCTTCTGTCAAAAGAGACAACACTTAAGGCTGATGTGCTCTGCAGAATCAGCTATAAATAACTCCTGAAGTTGGATGAATAATTAAAAGGATGTCATAAGTGGGCTGCATTTGCGAAGTGCATCGCAATTCTGGTGTTTGTCAGAGCTGCCCTGGTGAGGATGATTTCACATCCAGTCAGAACAACGTGGCTTCATTGATTTCTAGTCCCAGGCATTGCTCCAGATTCTTCACTCCTGCCATCTCATTTCGTCCTTACCACAACCCAGAAGCAGAGCACTATTTTTTAGGATGGGGAAACTGAGGCACGGAAGTGTTTGGGAAACAGGCTCACGGCCAGTTAGCTGTGATCTGCCTGTGCCTGCCTTGTTTTGCCATGGCCTTGGGGAAAGAGAAGCATGTTTCCTAACAGGAATTCTCATATAGCGGCCACGCAGACACCCTACCTGGCTCACGCTGTGTGGCACTGTTCTAGAAATCCAAGTTAGAAAGAAGAAACTGCATAGGAAAACCTAGGAGCCTTCCAATGTTTGAAACCCTTTGTAATGTTTACATCTATCTCTCTCTTATTCTTGTTTCACCTTCACACTAGTTGGGGCAGAGAGGAAATCACAAAACCATTTTCTCCCCGTTTGTACAGAGAAGAAGCGTCCTTTCCCCGACTCCTCAGGACGTCACAGATGCTTGGAGACCCAGGCCCTTTGGGATCTGTGTCCTGGAAACACACGTTGTTTTATAAACCAGCCCACACCCTGTCTTGCTGCGACATACTGATTTCTGGACTTCCAGTGCAGCCCCCAGGGAGAGAGGCCCTTTCTGCGCTTGAGCGGGAACTGACGGAGTGAGCCAGGGCTGCCCCTCGGTCGGTCGGGTCGGCCATGCCTTCTCTTGGGACCCAGATCCAGGAGGCTGTCTCACCCTGCACATTCCCTCTCCTTCTGGCCCTGATCCTCTCCAGCTTCATCTCTGATGCCAACGTTGTCACGTTAATGATTTTGACACATAATTTGAACTCTAAAATAACATTAAACTTGGACTGTGAAATGCCTGCTGCCTGGCTCTGACAATGACATTCCTAGGAGATTAAAGTACGAGAATGGGAGACATTACTCCCAGTTTGAGAAATCCAAGTGTAATACAATCATTAATTCCTTTTTATCCTTTTGATTGCTTCAGCATAAGGACATTTTTATGTACATACTTTTCTCCCATATTGTTTGTCAGTATTTAACAAAGAGCAGTGGACAATTGTCTTTTACATCCATGCATCCCCCCACTTTTCTCCCCGAGGACCAACATGGCCTTGCACACGCTGAATTCTTTGAAGGGGACGCTTAGGGCAGTAGAAAGGTTGAGACCGGGTATGAATTGCAGTCTCACAAGTTGGGTAACAAAGGATGAGTCCCTTAACCTCACTCGTTGAGCCTCCATTTCCTCATCTGTGTGAGGGGAACAATCATACCTACTTCACAGGGTTCTCCTCCGTGAGGGTAATAGAAAATAACATAGGTAAAGCATCCAGAACAGGGCTGAACAATGGAAAGAATGTCATTTTTTAATTCCTTCCCCTGGAATGATGTATCCAAAAATTTGACAAGGAGAGTTCACCAGTTCTCCAAGCACCCTGGGCTGAGCTGCTCAATTACTGGAAAGATCTCTTTCTGAGCTGGAAAACTTTCTGGTCACCATGGCCTCAAAGGATTTGAAACATCTCAACCACCACTAACCAAAGCTCTGGTCCTGCCCTATCCCCCGCCCCAAACCTATGAACTCAGGGTCGGCAGACCAGTTGTAGAAGGCAGCACCAAAGCCAGGAAGATTCCCACTGCTTTACACATTGCGCTGAAATCAAGCTGAGGATGTTTATTGGCTGATACAGAATTCCATGGTGGGACGCCAACTGGGTTTTGTTTTAAATAGATGGGGTCATTTGATCCTTGGCCATCTTATCTACCTCTCTCTATTTCCCATGTTTTTTTTTGTGTTTTTTTTTTTTACAATTTATTTTATTTATTTGTTTTTAGAGGGAGGGGAAGGAAAAGAGAAAGAAAGGAAGAGAAACATCAATGTGAGAGAGAAACAGCAATCAGTTGCCTCTTGTACGTGCCCCAACTGGAACCGAACCTGCAGCCCAGGCATGTGCCCTGACTGGGAATTGAACCCACGTCCTTTTGCTTTGCGGGATGATGCCCAACCTGCTGAGCCACACTGATCAGGACTATCTACCCATGGCTTTCACCTGTCACAAACGCCTGTCCACCGCTAGTAAGCTTAGGTCTGTGAATGGGCTGAGGAGGACGGATGTCCCATCCAACAGTGCTGTGGGGACCTGCTCCGGCCCTCACCCCGGCCAAGTGGCTCCCCCTTCTCCACCCTCCCTCACCAGCCGGCTGAGCAGGAGAGGAGTACTCGCTCCCTGCAGGCCCTTCCCCGCACGGGGAGGAGGGAGCATGGGGGTAGGAGAGGACGGGGACAGGGTGACTCACAAGGTGCAGTTCTCGGTGGACTCCGTGGTGCTGTCGTCAGTCTCCATGTTGGCTGAGAGGCTGGCGAAGCCGTGGGGCAGCTCATCCCACTCGTCGAACCGGATGCCCGTGCCCAGGGAGTAGCGGCCCTCGGCACAGGGCTTGCACGACTGGTCCTTCATGTCCAGAAACTCCCCGGCTTTGCAGGAAAAGGCTGGAACACAGAGCAAGGACCAGGGTGGGTGCGAGGCTGCTGCTGCCCCCGGGGGAAGAGGGCAGGTCGCGGGCCCCCTGGCGGGAGGAGCAGAGGATGGGGATCTAGGTGGTCAGCCCACTAAGGTTCAGGGCCATGCTCGCCTTGTCCGATTCCATGAACGAGGAATGTCCAGACAGGCAAATCCACAGAGACAGGCAGCAAGTTTGGAAGGGCCCAGGTCTGGAGGCGGGGGCCTGGGGAGCGATTGCTGGTGGATGTGATGTTTCTTCTTGGGGTGGTGATAAATGTTCTGAAATTAGGTAGTGGTGATGCCACCTCGAATACTCTAAAAACTAGTGAATTTTACACCTTAAAGGGGTGAATTTTATGACATGTAAACTGTATCACAATGAAGCTATTACTTAGAAAAGAAGATTCAGGGCTATGGAAGCTCTGCCTTGCGGAGGGACTTGGGCTTGTCCCGGTCACTGTTGCTTCCTAAGGGAGTGGTCTTGCCCATTCTGAGACCGCTGCAGGGAAGAGGATACCGTGGTCTCTCATGCCGACCCCCTGAAAGGCACCTAGCCCTTCAGCCTTGGATTTCCTCCCTGAGTGGCCTCTGTCTCCCTTCTGGCTCCACTGCCACCATGATGGCCAGGATTCTTGTGGCCTGTTGCTCACCCTCTGCGGTGTCCTCCTAACTAGCTCCCTGTTTCTTGTGTTGCTCATTTCATGGTCAGAGTATCATTCTGAAACCCTGACATGAACTGTTACTCCTGTTATTTAAAAAGTAACCAGGTACTCCCCTTCCGTTACAGAATTAAACTCTCAGCCTGGCATTGCCTCCCACCCTTTCCCCAGCCTGACGCCCCGCTTCTCCCCCACCACCGACCTTTCTCCACCCCGCCCCGTCCGTCACCCCGCCTGTGCTGCCTGCATCCCAGAGCACAAGTCCTTCTATCTCCATACTTTTGCTCAAGTGGTTCTGATCTCTAATAAGTATCCACAGCTCCCATTTTTTCACCTCTTATTAACAACACATCATATTGATGGGAGCCTCCCACTAGGCTCTGAGCTCCTCCAGGGACAGTGGCCCAGTGGCTGACACAGACTGAGCAGGAGATCCAGAAAGGTTTTGCTGAAAAATGAAAGGATGTATGCACGTAGGAGGAGCTCCGTAAAGGTGGCCCATTTAACCGAAGATGGCTCATTTGTCCCCATTATTCACACCTCAGTTCTGCTCAGATCTTAGCTACATTCATTCATTAATTTAACAAGTATTTATTTGCTCACTCACTGAACTGGGCACTAGGCTAAGCTTATTTTAGAATTTAAATGCCCTCAATCTCCTTTCCAAATCTTCAATTATTCCTTGACTCTAGTCTTGATTTTTATTGTTGCACCCTTTGCATATCCAGAGAGAACAGTGCAGAGGAATGAGCTGCCAATTGCAGAGCAGTCCTGACTCGGATTCACGACTCCGGGTTCAGACTCCGGGTTCACGGAGGTGGGGATGGGAGCTGCAGGCACCTCATCGCCTCTCAGACCGCACAGGCAGCCCCACAGTCGGGAAGGTTCCCGTCCCCTGTACTGAGGCCCAGTGCATCTTAAAGGTCTGTCTCTGCAGAAATTCATCTTCTCTGGCTCCCTTTTCAAGAATGAAAGCAAATCGCAATCTTTCCTAATGACTGATTGTGGCTGGTGAGTGTAGATTAGAGAGATGCACAGGCAAAAAAATATATATATGCACACTGAAAAAAAGGATTAGTGGCACACAGCTGGAATTACTCATACACTATACCCTAAGGGGATTTAAATTAAAAATAAAGAAAAAGAAAATTCAGAACCCAATTTGCATCTGTGAAACAACATTTCTGCACCAAATAGCAAAGGGGCTGGGGCTGGGGATGAACCGGGGGAAGATCTGATTCCTTAAGTTGGCTGCACTGTTGGGAAGCGGGAAGCGCCTAGCTTGCGAGGCGGGAGGCTTGGGGCACGGGCCAACGCTGAGTGACAGGGTGGTCCTGGAGCAGGATGGCGGCTTACAGCACTCGGTGCCCTTGACGGGGTCGGGGAGGCTGGTGCACAGGTCTGGGGTGTGCGGCACGGCGACCCTCCACCTGGAACCCATGCTGTCACACGCCGTGTACTCGTAGTGGTACTCAGACTGCAGAGGAGAGAACAGTGAGCGAAACGCACATTAGTGGTGGTCAAACAGCAACAGCTTCTCACCCGCTTTCTGCCCAGCACCATGGCTGCCGATCCCCATCAACACAGCAATGGGACCTTGTGGGGGAGCAAGGCATCATGGGAGCTCTCATTATTTGGACCATTCCTCTGCACCCAGCCATGGTCTAATCCTTAGAAATCCCTTCTTTTTCTTTTCTTTTCTTTTTTCATTCTTTCTCTTTTTTGGGGGGAGTCAGGGGCATGACTCTCTTTGCTGTTGTGAATAAGTAATGTCCTGATATACCGAAGGATTGTGGGAAGGTAACTAAAGAACAGGCTAGAAACAGGTGGAGTTTTTCTTATCCCAAACTGTAGAATTTATGAGCAAGGACTAGTCCATGAAAACTTTCCAAAGGATTACCACAGAAGCTGTGTTTCTTTTTCCCTGTATTCTTCACACTTCCTTCCACCCAGAAAGACTATGTTTATTCCCACCTCCCATTTTAAGAAAACGTCATAATAGCCCACGCAGGCGATGTGCTCTCATCATGTGGGTCTATCATGCCTGACTTCTCTGTGCAATGGGAAACGCACAGTTCAGTTGCTTTACCTGCACCAAGAACAAGCTAAATAACAACAAAACAGCAAAATCAACCACTAAATAGAACAATAAAAACAATAGCAAACCCTACTTGGGAGAAAGAAAACAGAATGGATATGCCAACTACCCCTAAACATTTATCCTTTTAAATCTTGTCATAAACAACAGAGCACATAATTCATTTGATGTTGGCTCTGACAAGTATTTCGCAGTCAGCACTAAAACTATATTCAAGTGCAAAACTACTTTGTATTATTGTGTCCATAAGAAAAATGGATTTAATGTCCCCATTCAACCCATATTAAAGCACTGTTGCATAGCTGTATAAATGCACGGCGTTGAGCCTGAAAATGAGAGTTAACATCAGGGTGCATCAGAACCAAAAGGAGAAAGCTTTACCTTTGAAATTGGCGAACATGCCACCTTTCATCTCTTCTAAGATGCCTACTTCTTTCATATTTTAACATCTTTGAAATCAAGATGTTTGGCTTATAACTGACACAATGAGGAAGCATTGTGTTGTATTTTAATTGATAGAGCCTTTTCATCCTTTGTGGTATATAAAAAATGGTGTGCCTTAGAAGCAATGGCATCTCAGACTTGTGGGAATATGATAAACATGTTTCTTGATCTGTAGTTTTAGACACTTAGGATGATAAGAGAGCAATTGTAGGGCTTCATTTTTATTTTCCTTTTATTATAAATATTTACCAAATATTGTATTTTGCCATGTATAATGCACACTTTTTTGCCCAACTTTTTGAGGGAAAAATAAGGCTACACATTATACATGAGTATAATAATCCTGTGTATCATGCGCACCAAAACGTGGGTGCACATTATACATGGCAAAATATGATATATATTACATGCCCACCACTTATAGGTACCAGCTGTTGTGTCCAGTGTGGTTCAGGACAGTCTCAGAAAAACTCAGCACTTTCATCCCGAGGGAAAAAAGAGGCGGAGGTCAAGGGGACAGTTTGGGGAGCTGTGAGCCTAACTTATGATGAGACTCTTGGGCTTTGCATGTAGACGTCAGCGTCCCTAGGAAAGAAAGAACGCCAGGACGGGAATTCTTTGGGCCTTTGGCTAACGTCTGTTGGAGGCTGTTTTTCCTCATAATTCCAGCCTTTTTCTTATCTCAGAAGACTCTGGGGTAAATAGGGCGATTTCACATATATCAGTGCCAGGTCTAAAAATGCTGCTTTCCAAAGGGTTTTGCTGCAAGAATGAGGGATAACACCCACAGTATGTAAATGAACTGGAGAGCTGAATGAAGCAGGGAGAGAGGATTCACTATTCTGCCTGTGAACACAATTACACTGGTCATTTGCATAGTGCTTTCCCAGTTCCCAAACACCGGCTCATTTGCTCCTCAATCCCCGCGTTAAGACAAGCAGAGCCGGGTTGTTCCCTTGATTGCACAGATGAGGACACGTTCTCCACAGGGCGAAACGTCTTGTCCAAGGTCACACAGCTGTTAAGTCACTGAGGGAGAACCAGGTCTTCCCACCAGGAATCCTCAAATCAAACAAACACACACTGGGCCAGGTTTAACAGCCAAATCTAAAAATTAAATAAGAAGCGTTGGTTGTCTGCCAGCAGCCCGGCTCACTTCTGAGGTCTGAGAACTGGTGTTAAAACATCCAATGTGCTTGAACAGATAATTTCAGTTCACTCTGCTTGCATGTCGTCTTTTGGAGGCGCATGGGCCAAGTCCATTTCTTTCCATGGTCTTTCATGGGACCCACTCAAGAGGGAGGTTTCCTGGGAGAAGAGTGGTTCCAAGCCTTAGATCATTTCAACTTGCTCTAATTTACTTCCTGTCACCTGGGGATATTCGCTGCACCCAAGGTGGCTGGCTCTGCGGCAGCTGTTCTAAATCTGAACTATACTTTGCGATCTCACCGTTAAAGACATAAGCTTTGACAGATGGTTAAATCAGGGGCATAACTGGAAGAGGTCCTCAGTTATATTCTGTGAGCAAATCAATTTCCTGATAGTATCTCAGTTTACCCAGTGATCTGTCTTTATGAGTGTATAGTCTGCATGATGCACAGATTCACAAAGGAGACACAAATATATTCAGTGCATACATGCAGCACACACTTCCTTGCTCTCCCCTGCACAATGACATGACACACATCCAAATCACAGTTTCAAATGGGGCACAGTAGACAATGGCTGCTCATCGGCCAGTCACATGCCGTGCTCCCAGGGAACACAAGAAAGAAGAAAAAAACCCAGAGCTGAAATCTGCCTTGCCAAACACTGAGGTGTCTGTAGGCAACACATTTACTCAGGCCCACGTGTTTTCAGTCCTTGCTGTCTAGGTATTGAGTGGCCTGCTGAAATGGTAAAATGGTGGCCAATCAGGATGGTTCCTGGATAGAAATGTGTTCTTCCTTCCACTTTCCCTCCATTCTTTCAAAATAACATGTCTTAATTTGTTAAATGATTATCAAAGTAATAGATTAGAGATTGGTGGTAATCTTTGGATTAGGTGCTAGAGAGGCATTTGGTGGTTATTCACTGTGGAAAACGCGTGAAGTGTAGGTTCATGAGCCAGTGGCAACGGGATGCGTGGTAGGCGGTACGCCTCTCCTGGGGGTGCCCCGTTGCCCTGTGCCATAGGTCAGCTGTGAGCATTAATAAGATGACACAGGTTAAGCACAGTAGGTTTTTTAATCTTCAAAACAACCTAATGAAGTAGGTGCTATTATTGTACCCTTTACAGATTGAAAAACTAAGGCATAGGGAGGTGATGTCATTTGCTCAAGGCCACACGGCCAGGAGGTTGCCAAGCCAAGACTCACCCCAGGTCATCTGGGTCTGCTGGAGCCTGTGTTCCAGGCTGCTGGTGTTGACGGCAGGCAGCCTGTGCAGGGACCTGTCACACTCACCGGGTGCGTCTGAGGCCCAGCACTGGCTCTCCAGCTGCAAAACACTTTGCCAGGAAAGCCAAGGGTACAAAGAACAACTTTGCCAACAGGGCCCAAGGGGGAAAGAGTCAAGCTCAGAGCTGCGTGGAAGGGAGGCTGAAAGGCACACTAGCCCTCCGTGGCGGGCCTCCCCTGTCGGACGCCTGTCGTTTGGCCCGCTCAGCATGCTTCACCGCCCTGGCAACAGAGCCTCTGGGTGTTGTGGCCCCTCCTTGTTCTATTTGGTCCTGGTGGCATTGCCGGAGGCGGCGGCCAGCGCTTCTCTGCTGAGACCTGGACACATGCCCACACGGGGCCCATCGGATGCTCTGCCTGGGTGGGTGGGAGATGGTGTGAGGGATGGGGACCCAGCCATGAGTAGGGGCCTGAGGTGGGTGGGAAGTGAGCAAAGGGGGGGCAGGAAAAGGCCCCTGGGGAAGTGACCTTCAAGGGGATTATTTGGTCGTTTGACTCCTCTGAGCCTCAGTCCTCTCTTCTGTACAATGAGAAAGCTGGACTTAGGCAATTCCTAAATGCTAAGGTTTATTCCAGTTCCAATATCTTACTTTATGGCCAGTACCTGCATGGAAATCTGTTCTTTCTTCCATCTTTTCCTCCTTCCTTCAAAATGGCACATCTCAGTTTTAAAAATAATTTTCAAAGCAATACATGCTAATTCTAGAACAGACAGAACTATAGGCTAGAATAAAAAAGATAACCTGCCGCAAGCCCCCCAGGACAGACGACTCCCTGTAACGCTGCAGTGCCCTGCCTTCCAGATTCTTTCTCTCTACGTGCGCGTACATTTATAAAACAGAGCGAAGACCATATGGTGCGTCGTGATGTATTCCGACCTTTGCTTGTCACGTTTCAGGTCACAAACACTATCCTCTATCTTTAATTGTGGTGCCATAGTTTGTTTCTTTTTTTAACTTTATTTTTATTGTTTACACTCTTACAGATGTCCCATCGCCCGCTCTCTGACCATTCTCCTGTTATTGTTGGACATCGCCTTTTGTTCAGTTTTTCCTTACTTTAAATAGAACTACAACAAAACTTTCTGTGTATCACTGGTTATTGCCTTTGTATAGATTTCTGGAAACAGAATTACTAGAGTAAAGAGTATGAGTTTCTTTAAGATTTTTTATCAAGAAGAGAGATTTCTAGAGAAAACAAACATTTCTAAGTCCTCTTTTCTTGTACTTTTTTATGGTAAATTTCAAATACATGTTTTTAGAAAATAGGATATGATGCCCCCATGCACCTACCATCCAGTGCCAGTGCTTACCAATTTCTGCCATTCTTGTTCATTTACCTCCACCGACATCTCCCTACTTGAAGTTATTTTTTATAGGTTTTGTTCTTTTAAGGTAAAATTTGTATACATTGAAGTCCACAGATCTTAACTGTACAATTGAGATGGATGCAGTTGAGTAAAACTCCTGTAGGGCTAAGCATCATTGCGCAGAGGCT